AAATCTAAGAATTGTATTAACGATAAAACCAAAAATGGTGATTTCTTTTTGTTGACAAATTTTCTTTAAAAGAGAATGAAATAAGTAAAAGTACACAAGTTGAACAAGAGAGAAGAGAAGAGACAAGAAGAGACGAGAAAGGGAGAGAGGGCGAAGGGGGTATGAAAAGGACGTTAATTTGTTGCTCGCCATGGGATTTTATCGTCTCTCCTCGAACTGATAATCCTCGTGTCGTGGGCGTTACGGTGAAGGGATAAAAGCTCGCCTTGCACCTACGTCAGAAGGTTTCTCTCTCTCTCTCTCTCTCTCTCTTTCCTTAGAAAGACGATGACTTAGTAGAAAAAAAATCTTTTGCACAAATCTTCGTATTAAACGATTCAACATTATTTTGCAATATTTCTCTTCCTTGAACATTGAATTAAATTATTAATCTTGTTATAAACAAAAATCATTATTATTATTATTATTATTATTATCATTGTTCGATGAAGGGATAAAGTTAACGTTGCACCCACGTGAAATTATTTTCCATCTCTCTCTCTCTCTCTCTCTCTCTTTTTATTTCTCTTTCTGGCTTGGTTTATTTTATTTTTTGTTCTTTTCTTTTCTTTAGAAAGACGATGACTTTCAAGAGAAATGTTTCAGAGAAATCTCGAATTAGCCAGCTGCACATTATTTTGTAATATTCTTCTGGAACATCGATTAAATATAAATCATATTATTATCATTATTGTTAACATTATCATATTATCATTTAGGCTAAATTGCTTTGATTTTTTTTTCCTCTTTATTCCTTCTTATTTCTTTTTTTCTTTTTTTTCTTTTTTTTTTCATGAAAAGAAACTTTGAACGTTCGTTTCAGAAAGTTAAATAAGCAACATTATTACTATTATTATTATTATTATTATATCATAATCATCATTATCATTATTATAATCACGATTTAATGAATCGAATTACTTTGATTCTTTTTCCATGCTAAAAGAAATTCTAATGTAAAAATAGGAACGAATGGAATATTTGATTTGACTATACGACAATAACAGGAAGTATATTGGTGTTTAATTATAATATTCTGACCGATGATTATTGAGAATAGCTAATTAAAAAAAAAAAAAAAAAAAAATAGAGAATCTATAATAGAAAGAAATCGGGGGGAAAGTTCAATGAACTCCAAAACGAAAGGAGAAGTTTTATTGTCGAGAAATAGAAATAGAAAGAGACATAGAAAGAGAAATAGAAAGAGAAATAGAAAGAGAGGGAACGGGGGGAGAAAGAAAAAGAGAGCTCCTAGAAGGGGGAGATGTAATCTCTCCTCTTAGGAGCGGCTTCCGGCGAGTAAACGATACTCCGATTCGCACCCGCACAAAATTACGCCTTTTACGCTTTAGCATTTTCAAGGACACTGCAACGTTTACCTTGTCTCTAGTAATAATGCAATCATTGATCACTGATATGTAAATCATTCGCTTTTCCTTACTTTTCTATCAATCAACATGTCCAAATATACTCATACGTAATAATAAACAATATTAATTTGTCAATGTATTTATTTAATTATTTATGTCTATCGTTTTAACATTATTTATTATTTGCGTGTATATATGCGAGTATATAAATAATAAGAAATAAAATAACTATGGCACACAAGGAACGATAGGTGCGTTAGAAAAAATTCTAAAGTGCATACTTCGATGATACGTCAATTCTCAAGTTCAGGTTACCCTACAATGTAAGATATTTCTATATACATGTATAGTAGAGGTATATTCCATTGTATTTGTAAACTCAACGATATGTGGGCGCCAGCATAACACGTAGATAGAGAAAAAGAGGGAGAAAGGAAATGCATGAGCAGGGGTTAAAGTTCACGGTGAACAATTCTTTTTTTTCTCTTTTTTTTCTCTTTTTTTTCTTTTTTTTCTTTCCTTCTAAAACTAAATCATGATATATGACAACACGAACGAACGATTTATTATCAATTTCGTATGACAATGATTGTTATTCGAATAACATTTCATAAATTTACTTGAAAAGAAAAGAAAAGAAAGGAAAAGAAAAAATACATGAAATTGATTAATTGTAGAGAACATTAATTAACATAATTAACGGTTAATTAGATAAAATATATAAAAACAATGAAGCCATAAATAATTTCTCTCCGAATTATTAAATCGCGTCTCGTACGTCCTACACTGATTTTTTCATGAAATCAATTATAAGGAAGAAGAAATGCGTCATCTATGGAAAGCAGCGTTCTGCTTTACTCATCTGGGAAATGAAGCGTGCACAGGTAGGCGTCTAATTACCAGGCGACAGTAATTACGAGGCTGTACAACTGTGCTCTAAGGAAAGTGAGAAGCCGCCAAGCGAGAAAAGAGAAACAAAAAGAAGAAGAAAGACAACAAATACACGATGTATTAAATCAGTGCTCTCTTCTAACTTTATGTCGGTTCACGGAACCCTTACGAGTACCAAAATATTTAATAAAACCATTTCTCTTCTAACAACAGAAATTGATAATAAATATCGATTGTATATTAATATTACTTAAACTGTTTATACAATAAATGGAACGTTTAATTAAAATGTAAAAAAAATTATGAAATTCTAAATATACGTGAAATAAAATGAAGAAAGTGAAAGAGAGATAGGAGATAAAGATGAATATTAAATTATTTCGCTCTCTTGTACGTAGAGCTCATGACCTTCGACATTCAATGGAATGCTCTTTGCCCGGAGGAACAAGAGGAAAAAGAAGAAGAAGAAGAAGAAGGGAAAAAGAAGAAGGAGGAGGAGGAGGAGGAGGAGGAGGAGGAGAAGGATGGTCCTGAACC